GACTCCTCTGATGGAGACCTGTCAGGTGTAGACTCCTCTGATGGAGCAGGAGCCGGAGCCGGGAGGCTTGGAGGGTTTAATGTGGAGTTTAGAGATGAACCGTCACGCACTGAAATACGTTCTGGATAAAATACAGTGAGAAACGGGACCGGAGGACAGTTAGCATTTATGCAAATTAGCTTAGCATCGTAGCACCGATGTTGTACTATTATGGCGTCAGCCTCTTTTGTTAGTTAAAAATATGTTCAGAACCGATGGGATGAGTAACTTAAAATATGTTTAAAGTTAGAAAACACTCACCATCTTCTATAAATGATTCAAGTAGAGCAGTAACCGTGTCCAAACCACCCTCCAATCCTCCATCTAGCTCGCTTTGACTTTTTTCGTCGGCCACCAAGCACAACAACACCTGCACTTCTGCATTTGACCACGGCTTTGATATTATTGTTGTTGTATAGCTTCAAAATACTAAAAGATACGCTTCTCGTGTTATCGCTAATGGCAAGCGGTAGAGAAAAAATGGTGGATCGGGTTGTTTGGAAAGACTCCACAGACTCCTCCCCCCGACCAATCAGTGACCGACAGTGTTTCTGACGTCACGGCGCGGCTCGCTCGGAACCCTTGAGAAGCCGGGCCAGAATTTAGCGAGGCGAGCCGGTTTCTGGAACAGTGGAAAGACCTCAAACGTGCTTCAACCCGGAAATATCCGACCCGCGCCGTGACGGTGGAAAAGGGGCAATAGTCGCCAATTCAAATCCCCAAACCAGACCATAAAATTTTGGCAGGAAGTTGAATCGTCCACATCTGCCTCCACCTTTCTGTGGCTTCTTCGATAGTGGCTGAGTGGGGCGGCTGTGGCTGAGTGGTTATAGCAGTCGTCCTCCAATGCAAGAGTTGGGGATTCAAATCCACCAGCAGTCACATGCCGAAGTGTCCCTGGGCAAAGACATTGAATCCCTCGTTGCCTCCGATGTGTGTCCCATCGGTGTATGAATGTGATAAAGCTCTGATTAGTTTATTTAGAATGATTTGTTCCATTAGCTTTGCAGAAATCTAGCAGAGTGCTATATGAATGGGTAAATGAGGACAAAATAATAAAATAATTTAAAATAATTCATTTCAAATAAAAATTTCATGCCGATCATGCGGCTCATCCATCAATCAGCCAATTGTGTGTCATGTCTAATCTTATTTAGAAAAACCGTGATACATCAAGTCCGCGATAAATGAACTGTGAAGTAGCGAGGGACTACTGTAGTCGTTATCTCGTGATAATGTGAGGTGTCACAAGAGAGGATGTGTTGAAAATGACTTTCAACTACTACCACATCAAATTTTAGCAATTTATTTTCTAAAAAATAAAATTTATTTTTGACATTTATATGTTGGCTAATGTCAACTAGCTTTGGTAGCCATCTTGAATTGAGGTGATTTCAATGAGATAATGAGTTTTAGTTGTACATTTACTGATTGCTTTTAGAAAGTTTTCTTAAACTTGATTTAGTAACTCATGAGATTTTTTTTTAAATAGGCACAAAAATGGGGAAAAATGGAATTGTCTTTTTTTTGGCAACGGGAGATGAGATAAATGCAGTTTTCGTAAATGGTTAAAAAATGTACACTTGATAAAGCACTTTGTTAGCAATGTTTGTTTATTTAACTAGCAATAGATGGGGTCACTAGTCTGTGTGACTTTTTAATTTGTGGTTCAAATGCTGTAGAGTTTGAGAACCACTGATCTAAACTGTGTAAAGTAGGAGCTCATGCAGTAACAGTGATTCTCTCTGATGTGGTTGGTTAACAGGCGCCATAGCAAAGACTGAGAAGAACAAACAGGTTCTGGACAAGCTTCAGGTGGAGCGGGAGAGAGGGATCACCGTGAAGGCCCAGACAGCCTCGTTGTTTTACACCCACAGGGGACAGCAGTATCTGCTGAATCTAATTGACACACCAGTAAGTCCTTAAATGTGTTGCTCCAGTTTGAAACGGCGTCTGTTGGTCCTCTTTTGTGAAGTTCAGATGTTAGTGTCATTTTCATATACAGACATGGATAAATTTGCACATTTTTAAAATTAAAAAAGCACAAAGGTCACTGAAATTACTTGAAATGGACAAAAAGTAAAAAATAAAATAAAAGAATGTAGGAGTTCTGCCCTGCACCCTGCCTCTCTCTCTCTCCTCAGCACTCTTAATCAACTCAACCCACAGGAGGAATATAAGAAGCTTCAGGAGCCGTTCTGCAAGCACTGGGACATTGCCTACCAACGGTATTTGTGTTCTAGCCAGTTTGTCTCTGATACGAGTAGAATTTTTAATCCTGTGTTTCTCTACGCCTTCTCAGAGCTTGGACCTTGCTGTTCACCTGCCCTGCCTTGAGTTCCATGCTAGCCTCGACTCCACCTGCTTCTCTACAGCTGCTGAGAGCCTTCCACCACTTGCCATTCCTACGTGTCGTTCACCCTCGCACTACTGAAGATCACCTGGACCAAACCTCCTTGTTCCACTCCTTACAACTCTCTGTAACAATAACTAGTGATGGCGAGATGAAGCTTCACGAAACACTGAGGCTTTCCATCAAATAGCTCGACTCATGATCCAACGCGCCATGGTGCTTCATTTGTTCTACTGCGCCATCAAGTGGACTATAAATGTAAAACCGGTAGATGGATTATAATAACTGGTTTGCGAAGCTTTAAGTTGAATAAAAGGGGAAAAAAAAGAAATCATGTTTCTGAGGACCTCCAATAGTCTAAATTTTATCTTCAAATGATCTTGATCTGTCTTTATGATGATGTTGATGATGGATTTTTCTGTCTGCCCCTTATATTTCGAATCTCGCGCATACAAACGAGCCAGTTCCTGAATCGGTCACGTGGTACGGCCCGCTAGCGAGGCCTCGAATGTCACTACATGCGTCATCAATACACGCCTTGATACACGTTCCACATAAATCCTCCTGGATTACTCAACACACACTTCGAAGCCTCGACACAGAAGGACACATCACTAAGAATAACCCTCAATAACAAATTCCCATCCATCTACAGACCTTTAACCTTCCCCTCTGTGTCCCACAGAACTAGCTCACTCGCTAGAGTTGAGAAAAATGAAGCCACACTAGAGCGTTTATTAACCCTTCAACAGACTAACCAATCCAATCTTCAAGAACTGGGCAGTATGTTGTTCTCGGTCAAACAAGGGATTACTCGGCTCCTGCCACCTGCTGCAGAACTTACACCTGAGGTCAGTCTTCCTAGCCCTAATCCTCCCCAAGTGATTACGACAGAGCAAAATTTAAAGCCCGCTTAACTTTTTAGTGGGGAGCCCAAACTGGGGGGGGGGGGGGGGGTATTTTACAATGTGAACTAGCTTTCCAGACAGCCCCTAATCTCTATTCATCTGATGCTGCAAAGATCTCTTTTTTTTTTCATCAGCCAGCTGAAGGGCGATGCTTTGCATTGGGCTCACACTCATTTATCCTCTCACCCTGTCAATACATTAACTTTTCCTCATTTCTAGTAGAGTTAATTCATGTGTTCGACCAACCCCTCCAACAAGCGGAAGCAGTCAAGCATCTACTCACCCTTGACAAGGTGGACGCTCGGTGACAGCGCACACCCTCAAGTTTAGGATCACCGCCGCTGAAACCGGATGGGGAGAGGTCACACTCAGAGGTACATTTTTGCATTCACTTTCTAATTCCATTAGAGACCACTTAGCGGAACACGAGGAGCCACAAAGTTTAGATGAGTTGATCTGCCTAGCGACACGCATCGATAATCAGCTGCCAAAGCGAAGATGGTAAGGGAACTACGACTCCCAGAGTTACCCTACTTCCGGGTTTCACCCGATGTCAAGAAGCCAACCTGTTCCCACTAAAAGAAACTACATTTCCCAGAGTCCCGCTTCTTCCGGGTTCCACTCAGCACCGAACCAACCACCTGTACTTGCACTCGAGTACAAACCCAACTCAGAACCAGAACCCATGCAGTTGGGTCGCATTCGCCTTTCCCCAGAGGAGAGACAGCGGAGGATTAATAGTAGAGCCTGTATCTACTGTGGGGAGCAAGGGCACTTTATTGCTCGCTGCCCGCTCTTGGGAAATGGCCCCTCTCACCAATAAAACAGGAGATATTGGTGAGAAACTCCTCTTCTCCCATCTCTCGCTTGGAACTGAACACCACTATTATTGTTAATCAAGAAAGGAAATCAGTCTCTGCACTTGTGGATTCTAGGACTGAGCAATACCTCATCAAGCAGGACCTGATCGATCTCCTATCCACTAATAGACTCCATTCTGTCAGGATTTGTGGTCAGGGACGAACCCAGTTGTGCAGACAGGACTCAACTCAAAAGATTACAAAAATAAATATTTTAATGACGAATAAAGAACACTAAAATAACAAGCTGACGTGACAGCAAAACTTACAGCAATAGAAGGCTCGGGGGGGGGGGGGACTCAGAAAGGACTCAGGAAGCTCAGGGAAGACTCAGGAGACGCAGGAGAACACTGGATACCCAACGAGTACGACGCGACAAAGAACAAGACTGAACAGACGACTTTTATACAGGGACAAGACGTGATTACAAACAGCTGTGACGAGACAAGGGTGGCACCAATTGAACTAAAGAGAAAACACTAGGGAACACAGACACAAAATGGGCCACCAAATGGTACCATCCCTACACATTCATGAACAACTGCACTCCACTAAAATATTTACCAAACTGAACCTCCGTGACGCTTACCATCTCATCCAAATTAAAGAAGGTGATGCGTTGAAGACGGCATTTAAGACCCCTTTAGGCCATTTTGAGTATTTAGTTATGCCATTTGGTCTCACCAATGCCCCCGCAGTTTTTCAAACATTGGTTAATGACGTTCTGAGGGATTTCTTGAACATTTATTTATATATCTGAATGACATTTTTATCTACTCACGGGACGAGGAACAACACATTCACCACGTCAGAACCGTCCTTCAACATCTATATGAAAATCAACTGTTTGTCAAAGTGGAAAAGTGTGAATTTCACGTACAATCTGTCTTTTTTGGGCTTCATCTTTGAAGGTGGGCAGTACCACACGGACCCTGAGAAAACGAAGGCAGTGGTGATATGGCCAACCCTTAAGACACGTAAGCAGCTGCAGCGATTTCTGGGCTTCGCCAATTTCTACCGAAGGTTCATCAAAAATTACAGCAGGATTGCTGCCCCTCTCACCCAGTTGACCTCCACCCTGCAGACTTTTAAGTGGACTCAGGAGGCAGAAGCAGCTTTTGTTAAGCTAAAGAGATATTTTTTCCTCTACTCTTATCCTTTGCCACCCTTACCCTAAGAGACAGTTCATTCTAGAGGTTGATGCTTCAGACACTGGTGTAAGAGCCATTTTGTCCCAGAGGTCTCCCAGTGACAACAAAGTGCACCCCTGTGCATTCTTCTTTCGGCATTTTTCCTCAGCTGAGCAAAATTATGATTTAGGTAACCGTGAGCTCCTTGCTGTCAAATTAGCCCTGGAGGAATGGCGACACTGGCTCGAGGGTACAGACATGCTATTTCTCATTTGGTCAGATCACAAGAACCTCACCTACCTCTGTGAGGCCAAGAGATTGAACCCCAGGCAGACAAGGTGGTCCCTGTTCTTTACGAGATTTAACTTTATGCTAACTTTCAGACCTGGCTCCAAAAATGTGAAGCCTGACTCCCTGTCCTGCCAGTTCTCACCACCAGAGGACACTGAACAGTAAGTGAACATCCTACCCTCATCCTGCGTGGTTGGTGCTTTAACCTGGTCTATTGAAAAAGACATTCTCGAGGCTCAGAAGTCTGAACCAGGCCTGGGGACAGGTCCTACTGGCACCATGTTCGGTCCCACTAGTATCAAGGCTAAAGTACTCATCTGGCTCCACACTCACAAAGTTTCTTGTCACCCAGGTGTCGCACACGTTGGCCCTAACGAAGAGGCACTTTTGGTGGCCATCCATGACAGAGAATATAAAGAACTACGTAGTCGCTTGTCCCAGGTGTGCCAGGAGTAAAACTGGCAATCAACCTCCCGCAGGAAAATTACAGCCACTTCCCACCCCTAGCTGGCCATGGTCCCATATCTCTAGATTTTATTACTGGGTTGCCCCCGTCTGATGGTAATTCTGTTATTCTCACTGTGTGTTATTGACAAATTTTCTAAGGCAGCACATTTCGTTCCATGGCCTCAACTCCCCTGTTGGTTCAGCATGTTTTCTAGATCCATGGCATCCCCTACGACATAGTTTCTGACAGAGGACCCCAGTTCATATCACGGGTATGGAAGAACTTTTGTAACTCCCTAGGGGCCTCTGTCAGCCTGACATCAGGCTACCACCCGCAGTCCAACGGCCAGGCTGAACGTGCTAACCAAGAACTAGAGGCTGCTCTCAGGTGTGTGGTGGAGGACAACCCTTCCACATGGAGTTAGCATCTGGTATGGGTGGAATATGCCCACAACACCTACACATCATCAGCTACTGGTATGTCATTGTTCAAAGCCTCTCTAGGTTACACCCCACCATTATTCCAAGTCAAGACAGTAATGTAGCAGTTCTATCAGTACAACATCACTTTAGGAGATGTTGTTGGGTATGGCGCCAAACTAAGCTCGTCCTACTTAGCACAGCCGCAAAAAACAAGAAGATTGCAGATCGTCGTCGCTCTGCAGCCCCATCCTACAAGGTTGGTCAAAAGGTTTGACTGTCGAACTAAAACAGCCAACTCAAAGATGCCCCCTGCTTCATCGGCCCTTTTCCTCTCACCTGTATCATCAGTCAGACTTCAGTCAGACTCCAGCTACCCACATCTATGAAGATTCATCGCACCTTCCACATGTCTCAACTAAAGCCCGTCGCCAAAAGCCCTCTGTGCCTTCCTACCAACCCCCCCTCATCTCATTGACAACCATCCAGCCTTCACGGTGCGCCG